CTCTCTCTCTCTCTCTCTCTCTCTAGCTCGTTCCATAAAGGGAGCGGGAATGCATTTTCCCGCGATAGCGGGAAAATGCATTGCCGTTTCGTTTTTCGAAACGAGACTCTCTCTCTCTCTCTCTCTCTCTCTCTCTCTCTCTCTCTCTCTCTCTCTCTCTCTCTCACGACTTCAACTGTTTTCCCGTTTTTTTTCTTTTTCGTTTCTATATTTCATTTTTTTTTTCCTTCTTTCTTTTTTGATCGTGTGTCGTCCCTACAGAAGCGGGGCCCGGCCTTGGCGCTACGACCGGGCCTTCCCTTGGCCGACCAGCCTGAGGCTGTGGTGCGTATACGGGAAGGCCCGCGGCCGAACACTGAGCGAGGTACTGGTGGTTTAATTGCTTCAGGAATTTCGAAACCCTCTATCCTTACTCTGTCCAAAGCATATACACAACGTTTGTACCAGAGTGCCCATATTATAGCTTCGCGAGAGAGCGATAAAAAATTATGAACAAAATCCGAGGAGGAGGGAGAGTCCCATGCTCCCAGGAGGATAGCCCTCCAATCCCCTGGCCAATCCAAGTCTGTTAATTGCCTACAAATGCAATCCCATCTGCGCCACAAGAGCGCGGATCCAGGACACTGTAAGAAAATATGTTCAATTGTTTCTCTTATCTTGCGTTTGGGAAATGTCATATGACAAGACTGGCACCATGGAAATGCTAGTCATCGTTGTTGAAGAGATGAGTGATCTATCAACCAGTCATTAATTGAGAGGCAGCGATGTATAATTTGCCATTGTAATGATCCAAACTTAGTTGGACGCTCCTTAAGCTTTTGGAACTAGCCAACCGGACGTAATGTCTGAACATCCAGATTTAGTTGTCTAGGCCAATGATCTTTGATAATCACCTTCATTTCCACCCGTGGTCGTAGCATACAATATGCAGCTTTGACGGTGAGGGAGGAGGTAAGTAATCTTGGTCTGCCAATTTTGCTGGCCATTTCCGTTCCTCCGGGTGTAGTGCAAGTTGTGGTATGGGTATCCTTAATTATATGACCTCCAGTGCTGAATGGATGAGTCGCTTAGAACCCCAACCCTATAGAGTGCTGTAGTGAGAAAGAATTCCAAACATCTGTTTGTGTACGTGATAGGGAGTGATCCTTATGTATCCGAAAAAGATTTACTAGGGCCCCATCAGAAACAACATACATTATGTTCCCCATGTACAGGGACCCATCCAGATGATGAACAATTACCCAATCCGACTCCACAAGAGAACCTCCCTTCTTTAGTGCAACGGTGCACCCACCCAGGACGAGGGTATGGAGAAGATAATCAGATCATCCAAGTTATCCTGTAAATGGTGAACGAGGGTATGGAGAAGATAATCAGATCATCCAAGTTATCCTGTAAATGGTGAGCATATCTTAACTCATTTGGAAGTTGCTAATGGGATTTCAAGTCCTTCTTGGCTGGGTTCCATAGGTCCTTGATTCCATTTTTAACCCAGGTTGCCCAAGGAGGATCCAAGCTTATATACACACTACCCCACCTATCTGTGTGTGTGTGTGTGTGTGTGTGTGTGTGCGTGGAAGGGCAGTCAGTAAACCCGCGCTTCCACTGCCGCATGCATGCTCATTCCTGGCGATCTGGTCGTCTTGATGGACCAGGTCCGGCTGCAAGAATGGACTTGGCAATAGCTATCCGTGATGGCGGGGTAGCAAGGGAGGGAGGGAGGGAGG